GTAGTCGTAGTCGTAGTCGTAGTCGTAGTCGTAGTCGTAGTCGTAGTTGTAGTTAGTTAGTTAGTTAGTTAGTCCCTACAAGTCCAAAGGCCCAGTAAAACCAGGTCGTTTGCTTGCTTGAATAGTGTTTTTGTATGACCAACTCCAGTAAAATGAGGTCATTGACCTGCAGGGAGTTAGTTAGTTAGTTAGTTAGTTAGTATCTTTCCAAGGGACTTTGGAGAGTGCTCGTTTGATCATCTCTGAGTCCATTGAATTGCATATTTAAGGGGATGTCAAAGCAACAAAGGGAACTAAGAAGGATGATCAAAATCCTCCCTCTGAAAACAGTTCCGCTGGTTGCACCAGTTTTTCGGTCCCAAAAGCCTCTTACTTCACTCCAAGGATCACCGCATGGATCGTAAAGAAGGTCCAGGATGTCACGGCCTGATGGATGAAGCGGAAGTGTTGCGGGAGAGGAAGCAAAACCAATCCTGGTTAACTGCCTGCATCCGTGCCAACCTCATCTGAAGACATGTTGCCTCACCAGAAGTGGAGATGTTGGATGAAAATTCATGGTTCAACTCCCAAACACCCAGGTCCATGATGGATGTGCGCAGGTTCACGCGCATCTGCGCGCGCAGATGTAATATGTGTACTGTGTATGTGTGTGTGTGTGTGTGTCGAAAACCCGCGGATTCCCGAACCTCTCCGATCGGAGGTCGGTCATCCTAGCGCTGCATTCGGTCGGGTCCGGCTGGGTCTCCTTGATGTCTCGGGTGATGGTGAAGCTGATGGATCGCCCGTCCGGCATCACCACGCAGTCGCTGAAGAAGCCCGCCTCAGTGGACCGCAGACTGCGCGGCTCGGAGGCAGAGCGCTCAAGGAGCTGGTGGGTTTGGTCGCTGACATAGCGGGTCCCAAATGAAAAAAGATGAAAAAAGGGAGGGTTGAGATATGTGGAGATGGTTTTGCAGGGGGATGTTGAGATGGCAAGTCACTCCAAGTCCCCACCTTGTACCAAGGCCTTCAAGTCAAAAAGAGCTTACGGACGTTTATGTTCTCGCCTTTATCCCAAATCACCGACACATCAATATATAGATCGTCAAAAATATCGAAGATGTCCAGATTCTAGCAGAGCCTCCTTCCAGCCTACCAGTTGCGCATTACACCTGCAGTACTACAGCGTGCAGTATCTCGGGCTACCATGGGCTACTTACACTGCGAGGATACAGTAATTAACCATGTTTGTCAAGATTTCAGGCCATTTCAGGAAGGTCCTCCACAGGTACAAACTCAAAAGAAACATAAACATCACCTCACCTCCACTTCATCCACACGCTTTCATTCAGGTCACTCATCCATCACCGGCAAACCCCCGGCGGTACCCCCAAAAAGGAAAAAAAAAAATATATATATATATTACTTTAACAAAAAATCCCCATCACCGGAAATGGAAAGCCAGAAATCCCCCTTTTTCAGGTAATTACACCTCTCTCACCTCTCTCGGCAGAACACCGAGAAACCGCCCCGGACGGACACTCTCTCGGCAGCGATGCGCCGAGGCGCCAGGAGAAACTCCAAGGTCCTCCCTCCAGGGCCCACGAGCTGCGAGGCCTCGAAGTTGCAGTCCTCGGTGCGAGCGGGTGAAGCACGCGCCTCGATGGGCGCTTCAAAGAGCGAGAAGAAGGAAAAGTGGAGAAAACCTGGGGATGTGATTTCCATTTTGTTGCCGAAAAAAAGAGATCAAGTCGATGCGTCGAAAGCGCGTGTAACCCCCATGGTGTTCGAACTTGTCCGACGGAATCGTCTGAGATGCTGGCCCAAGCAATGCGGAAGCCTCGGCCAAGCTTCAAAGAGATTGGCAACTGAAGCTGTGCTTGGCAGTCGATACACCAAATCCGTCTTGGAAACTCTATTTCATCCTGCATTTGGGTAGTTGTCTTTCTTTCCAGGCTTGGTCGTCCTCGTGACATCACGATGAAAAATCTGGGACTTGTAGTAGGGGAAGATCCGGATGACGGATGGCGTTGGATGAACGTGATGGCGTTGGGTCACCCAATCGCCATGGATATCGCGAAAGCCGTGGCATGTCTGTGATCTCGGCTGTTGCCCTTCTCTGAGAGGCACATCAGTTCTTCTCCCGCTAATGTAGACTGTTCATTGATAGAACCCCCCAAGCCTGGGAATGTATTGGTGCTCCCTGCTAGGTGTTTCTCCATTCAACAGTCCACAGGACCTTCTTCTTCAACAGTCCCCACTACTCTTTCGCCCCTTCTCCTCTTGGTCCCCACATGGACCCCGCACCTTCGGGCGCTCGAAGCGTGGCAGCCACCGGGGCCTGGGCCGAAGAAACGAACACTTTTCCACAACATCGAAAGAAACAGGTAAGCATATAAATCTATATATATAGATATAGATAGACCTAATACTATATAATATAGACCTCGTATAATTCTAAGTATATATATATATCAATGAGGCTATCAAAAATGACTCTCACTTTGTTTTGACTCTCAAATCTTGCTCCTTCTGATATGGATGCAGTGAGTGTTGGTGCTCTTATGAGTTGGAAGGGTTTATCTAGTGTTCAAAGATCCACGTCCGACAAATTATTAGTCAGAAATCCTCGTCCGACGTCCGACGAATAGGTCAAAGCAAATATTCACACCAACAACTCGGCACCATCCATCAGCCACAGCCGATGCTGGGACCAGCCCGCCAGACCTGGCATCTCCAAAATATTAAGACAGCACCCCCCGAGGTTATATACTCTGCCCAAATGGCCTTCCAAAGGTTGTTTCACTAATACAAAAAAACAACCAAAAACGTACAGCGCAGCGCCACATATCTTTTTCGGCAGAGCTTCCCCCGTCCCCCTGAGGGAAAGTGATCTCATGACATCTACGCATACACTCTGTACAAAACTGCTAAGCTTTCACAGCAAGTTCAGGCTCCTCTAAGCAAGCAATCAGGAAGCCACATTGTTGAAACCCAATGGCATTGTCTGGGCCTCGAAGCAGTTTCACGTGGCAACTGGCAACTGGCAGTGTTTTGAGCAATACGCCGATCCAAGCGGCCCAAGACAAAGACAGGGTATTCAAACCAGGGAAGGATATGAAACATCAGACCACCAATCGGGGCAGTCGCGTCATATGCAAAATCCTGACCGCTGCCAAACTATGAAACAATCCATTCAAGAACAGCAAACCCACCCCGTCCTCGGCACGCATCACGTTCAAGCTTGCAAGTGCACGATCCACCGTATTATGGTTGGCCCTTGCTTTATCAATAACTTGCTGCATGTGATGCTGCGTTTGCCGCCAAACAAACCTCAGTTGAACCGTTTTACTGTTGCACCCCTTTTGCATATCACCCCGGATATTGCAACCCCCTTGAGGCAAACAAGCGACCGCAGAGCGACACATCCATGGACCTTTTCCAATGGCACCCTTGGTCCATGAGGCCCTTGCCTAGCAGAACATAGAAACCAGAAAGCTTGGCATATTGCCATATTGCAGCCATCAAGTTAAGGGACTCGGCCAGATCTTCGATGCGATCATTCCTGGACAAATCTCTAATCAAGCGTTCAAGCCTCAGCAACGGGTTCACAAGAAAGAGCCCAAGACTCGAAGTTTAAAGGCTGAGAGTGGGACATGTCAAACCTGCGGCGCCACGACATAATGTCCAACTGTTCAACGAAGAGGTCAAACATAAAGGCCTCACACTCAGCGAACTCGTCACGGCGGGCCATGTTCGGCAAAGGTTGTTTAACCCTTAACCGCAAACCAGAACCAAAATAGCTTCAGAAAACAAAAACTCCTGCACGCATGGCTTGGGCAGCACAGCACATTGCAAATACTCTCACACAGACCCTCCATTTTGCTCCCCTCAAGACTGCAGCGGAATCATCAACCTATGCGCGCGGTACAGGTTACCACGCTTGGTCGCGGACAGCGACAAACCCGTGACATCTATTTTGTGGACGTCCATGAGACCGTCGAACACACTAAACGGTATTTTCACCTCTCCAGGTTTGCAATCATCGAGCCAGCGCCCACATCAGGATTTTGCTGGGCGGTTGCAAGACTGACGGCAATACGAGCTCGGCGTCCGCAAGGGACACTGATTCATTGAACGGGATCCAGGGCCCAAAGATGTCGATCACCTCCTTTTTCCTTCCCGCTCGGAAGTTCATTTCCGGGGACTCCAAAGGATAGTACCAAGAAAACCTCACAACATTGCAATGCCAATCTACCAATGGCACGAATCATGAACCAACACATACAACCGCATTCAAAATGTATTGTAACACTGCCGAGAAGCACTCCGTTTTCTTCACCACTGACTTCCAACAGGCTCATCAAGACACCAAGCACAATTGGCAAACGATCCTTCCCAGCTACGATGCAAAAGTCACCAGGGCTCATAAACGCCTTCTGGGCTGGAGCAGCAGCCTCTCCCAGGCCACTGATTGTCATCAAGCTGTTTTGTGGCATGTGGCCGATGTCGGACCCCATGGATATGTGGTAGTACACATCGTTGGGTATCTGCAAGGCATCTTGGTCTTGTGACACAATCTGGCGTGGCCCCAAATGCGCCGCCCTCATGTCTGCAATCATTGTTTCCTCAGTTTCTGTGTTGTTTTCACGTCAAACTAGTTTGGGGTTGCGCATGTTTACGCAGAAAAGATTCCAAACATGGGCCCACGCTCAAACCAGCACGTAGGACCTCAAAGTTGCCAACTGCTCCCGTGGATGTTGGCCAGATGCTGCCAGGCTGCTTTCCTGTGTCAGTCAGTCATCATGCGTCGCGAATTGCCATTGAATGTTTAAACACAAATAGCTCCAAATCAGGCACAAGTCTCCAATTTGTCCAGAAAGTTGTTGTATTTGGCTTTGCGTGGCTCATCAAAGTCATGTGGCACGACTGGGGGACGCGCATGCGCAAATAGCGGCACTCGATCAGACTCCACAATCAACTGCGGTTTGCTCCAAGACTCATCCGTGACAAACTGCCTCCACTTGATCCAAATTCCAGACTCGTCCATATCGAGACGGAGGGAGTGGACATTGCGATAGCGATGAAACTCAAGTCCATACATCTTCCTGACATACGTCCAGTCGTGCGATGATCCATGGTGATTCCAATTGATGGCAAAACTCTTCAGACCTGAAGATGCCACAGCCTCAAGCTCATCAAAAGTCATGTAGCTTCGTCCACGTAGGGACACTATGAGTCTCGAGAAGAATCTGTCCAGGCTGCCATGAGTATGTCCGACGATTGGATATTGGAATTCCACCGCCTTCAACTTGGTGTCTCTCAGGACAGAAAGAAGCCGGATGCTCCATGTGACGACCGTGGAGTTTTTGGTTTCTTTGGGTGTGTTATCTGCGCCAATGAATAGGCAACCAGGCATGCGGTGAAGCTGGTCAGCATAGTGGCTTGGGAGTTTGCGCCGTGACTTGCATTTTCCAATGTCGTCGTCAAACAAAACTCATCTTCACCTTGGCAGGCGCTTCAATGATTTGCTGGTGAGTTGAAGCTCGGTCTCAATTTGCAAACAAAAAACATTTTGGGCCGGCAAAATGCATGCCCACAACACCCACCACAAAGCGTTCACCCTGCTTGAACAAAGAAGTAGCCAACCTTGGCATTGCCGAATTGGATGGACCCGCTGCTCATGCATCAACGCTAAAACATCAGCTAGAAGACATTTCATGGATACTCGGCAACATGGTTTTGTTCTGGTTGCACTTGTCGATTGATAAATACCTCAGGCTTGAACAAATGCATGCAAAAACACAAAAGCAATAACATTGGGCTGAGTCCGCGACCAATCTCGCAATGGCCAGCCTCTGGGCTCCTTGGAAGCTGTAGTGCTGTCCTGCGAGCGAAGCACAACAAAGTGAAATTCTTCCACAAATTCATTGTTTGGTCCAGTCCTAGACGTTTCCGGATTGCTGCCAAAATCTCTGTATCGGTTCGTGGGGTTTTGTCAAGTAAGCTCTTCAAGAAAGTACATGCAGAGCAGGCTGTGAACATGGACTCCTTGCGTGCCAGAACCGTCAAGAAAAGGATCCCTTATCCCTTACCCTCATCAAACCCCACCCCAGAACAGCTAAGCAATCAGAAGCAGAAACACACCAGCCAAGAATCTGAGCTAGCAATGCGAATCCAAGGGAGTTCATTGGTCCATGCTTTGCGAAACGTACTAAGGTCAGCAGGCTTTCCATCCAAAGCGGCCAGGTTCTGATCTTGCCTTGGTCTATCATACTATCGAAAAACAAAGAAGCGGCATTCAACCAATGAAACACATCAAATGATCACAGCAAGCGGCCGTTCGTATTGGTATTGAGCGTGATAGAAGAACTTCCGGCCCGCTGGCAAATACACCCTCAAACTCATTGGGCTTTTCTCGCCGTGTGTTTCGGCATAGGTTTCTAGCCATGCCCTCACGTCGAGATATCGACTTGCCTTGGATTGGTTTCTCATTTCCATCCAGGCCAGGGCATTCTCGCGCCAAATGTTGTCGACACCTTTTGAAATCTTACTTCTGATGTCCTGGATCACGCCAGCAGAAACTCCTGACAATTTCTGAAAGGCTCTGGTGCACACCCTTATTCCTGCAAACTTGACAGCGCCAGGGTTTTCCTTCATCATGTCCAGCAGCACTTGCTTCGGTTTTTCACGAGGAAGGCTGGCCCACAGCAAGCGCCAGTTCCTCAGGGTCAATTAAAAAAAGGCAAGACAAGATTCGCAAGACTCGAACACTACATCAACAAAGTTTCTTCACGATTCCAGGCTGTTCTTTGAAGGGTTCCAGGCACTGATGCATCTCGCGTCCGACGGAACAAGTTGCTTGGAGGTCTCTTTCCTTGGGCGCGTTCACGCCGCGCTCCACAAAACAAGTTTTAAGAAACAAACTTGACTGCAGCTTAGCGTCAACACTTGTCATGTTGAGAAAACTCTCTACACGCAGAATGGATTTGGAGGACACAGATCGCGACATTGCGTCGTCGCTTTGCATGGATAGTTTCTTGCAAGGCATGGTCGCAATTGCGTTCAAGGCCCTTTCTGCTCTGAGATACTTCGAAATTGGTGCCATGTCCTGACAATAGCTTTTGAACAACTAATGGCAAGCTCTACCACTGCAATCTCTTTTTCACCCGCCTCTTCTGCCGCGTCTTCCCGGGCAAGCTGAATGATCGCAAACCGTCGTGCTCTGGCCATCACTCCCACGGGCACGTTGTCAGGGTTGGGCCGAGAGAGATTCCTGAGCAACAGGAGCCACCACGCCATAGATTATTGACTTACGGCAAGCAACAGCAGTTACACGTAAATGCATCCAAGGGTCTTGCAACATTCTATCAGTTTTGGGCTTGGCAAATCAAAGGGGGGCCACTCAGCCAACGCTTCGCAGAGTTGAAGCTCTTGCTCTCTGCAACCAATTGCAACCTCGTTGGGCTCAACTTCGTCATAATCCAGGTCGCGCTCCAAGATCTGGGCACCACGATTTGAAAGCACACTGTCCGGCGAGACGCTGACAACAACATCTTCTGTCGGACGGGATGCCACAGGGAGCAGCGGCCAGAAATGATGGTGTTCAAAGAAAACCATCAGCGCCAAACCACCGCACTCATGCTTACCTACCATGAGAGATTGGCCTAGAAGCTTCGCTGGTCCTTGGTCGTCCACTAGCATGACATCTACTCCGATGGAGCACGCCAGGGCTTGCAAAAAGGATATGTCAGCCCACGAGTCTGTGAGCCTTAACCGTGAGAGCCATTTGTCCATGGGCGGGCCACGATTTCCACAATTTCTCGAAAAGCCAATCCCCAGAACTTGTCATCTCGGTGCTTCGAGGCCCATTCGCACGCCAGTTTTCTGGCGTCGGAACAACGCTTTTGATCTGCCATCCTTTTCCAAGATGGGCGAATCCCTTGCGCTATTGCGCTTTGGGTGAACGCATGAGCGCAGCAATTGCCACTGGTTTTGCTGTCTACCGCCACGTAGTTGTATTCTTCAAGCGACTTCTCGATCAGTTTCACGGGGCAAACCAGTCCTCCTCGACCCGCCCCTTGCGGGTGATCAGGTATGGCAGCCCTCAACACATTGAGGTGCTCAAGATCGAACAACGGTCGCCACGACATTGCACTAGAAGCACGAATCAAATGATAGTGTCTTACCTTTCTTGTTTCATTGTGAACTTATTGGTTGAAACTTATTGATTGAAGCTGCTACTAGTTTATTTCTGCAATCACTCGTTGGACCTGTCGAGCGTGGTCATGACAAACAATTTGAACTGCAAACAAACCATACAAAACCCGTCAGACGCCTTTCGAAACAAACACAGTCGGCCTTTTTGTGGTCGTTTATCAAGCTTTCTTGAACATGGGTTTCACTACTTTGGACAAATCCTTGTGAGACACGGATGCGTTGTCCGATTTGTACTTCATCACAACTTTTTGGGCGATCACATATCCTGGACCTGTCTCCTTAGACCAGAGCAGTGCATCCAACGCAGCACTTCAAAGTATTATTTGCAAAGCCAAGTAGCGCAGTCAAGTTTGACCTTCTTTGTCACTCGCTTCAACAAGTCTGCGAGCGTCAAATTTTCGCCAGTGTCTCCATCAAGCACTTCCTTGACCTCGCGCAGGGGGCTCAAACAGTCCCCAAAATTTAGAGGTCGAACTTCATGCGCATCTGTCAGCCAGAGTGAAAATGATGATTCAACAAATTTCAAAAATTAATGGTGTTTTGGAGATGTGGACCCATCACATGGAACTCTCATCAAAATTTCGCTACTACACAAGTCACTGGCCTGCAGCCCCTCCATGTCCTTGTGCAGATGGGTTGCCCAGGCCTGCCACCAGTTATGAGTTCATCTATGATTCTATGGTTCATCTTGGAAGTGAAGAACCCCGCGCCACCAGTTATGAGTTCATCTATGTTTCTATGGTTCATCTTGGAAGTGAAGAACCCCGCGCCTGACATGTCCAACAACCTGTTCATTTTCTCTCTGATGTGGGATGCGATGACCGCGTTCTTAGATGGGCACAAACTCACAAATGCAAGGCGTGGACAAGCACAAATGCAAGGCATGAACAGCACTAAACTCTGACCAAGAATCTGCCTTCACCCAATTGCCGTTGGGCCCACCCTCTCGAGTCATCCTCGGCACTAGTGGATTTGAGGCCATCGCTGGAAAAGGTCATGAGCGCGAGGGCCGCCTGAGTTCGTCGGACGGTCACATACGGTCACGCAGCAGTGAAGACGTCAAATCAAATGGCATCAAGCCGAATCAACCGTCAAACATGAAACCAAGCGCATGTCGAGCGGCGGCCCAATTCCTCTCATCAACCTCCAAGCAGCTGAACGCGTAAGCAACGTCCGGCGCAAGGTCCGCCACCTTCTGCTTTACCTGGGACCATTCAAGGGTTGCTTAAATGATCAACTGCTGCTTTCAAAGAATTTTCAAAGACATGATCAGATTCAATGATTCCATGAATGAATTTCAATGTCATAGCCAAGGGACAGTGTCGATATATAGCGCCGCCAGGGGTGGACTGGGAGCGGTAGGGACCTCCTCATATTGCGCCATCCTCCCGCAGACCTTGAAGGAACTGTTCATCGAGGTCTGCCGACACAGCCTCGTGCGATTTCAGCCTGGGCGCCACTCAGGACTTTCACCAATGAGCTGACCACCAACAGAGTGCCAATGACTGATAACTCTGTGTCCAACCCATGTTGTCCAATGAACTGACTGTGAATGGATTGACTGATTGCAGTCAAGAAACCCATGCCATGATGGCAGCCACAAAGGAATGGAGAAAAGACCACTGAGCACGATGCCGGCAGATGCAGATCGGTGCTTTCCCTTCGTGCCTTGGATCGCAAAACCCAGAAAAGCGAGCGAAAGTTTGTTTGAATGAATGTCATTTGAAGACTGTATAACCTGCATTCAAGCTATACACAAGGGCCAAGAGCACAGGCTTATCCGAAACTCTGCTGTGCGCCTTCAAGAGAGCCTCGGCCACCACGAGAACTTTGATGATCTCCTCCGTCTGGCAAAGCTCCATGAGCACGTTGATGTCCGCCGCCGGGCTTCCTGTCAACATCAAATCAAACCAAAGGTGTGCTCCCATCAAGATCTCAAAAACTCACCAAAGTGCAAGTGTGAACTGCTAATGGCAAACGAATCAAAAGAAACGCCTGAGATCCGATCACCCGGATCGTTGTTCCACAGCGTCCGCACATCAAAGGTCACGATGGTGTGGTCAGGGTACTGCGACTTCAGCAAAGCCGGCATCATGTCCTTTCCCTCAATACCTTGGAGAACAATCGTACTGAGAAGCCAACAAGAGAGCGAGAGAAAGGAAGAGAGAAACACAAGAAGAGTTGCATTCACTGTTGCGTACGCATGGTCGTCCAATTACCAAAGGAATCTCAAAATCAATTCCAAGAGTCGGTTCCTACCATACTCATAATGCACCCCATAGGCCACCAGCGCATGGCGAGAAAGAACCGGCATGGTGAGGGTGGAAAAGATCGTGAAAATGGTGCATGCGATGTTTTGCTGCCTCAATGTCAGTGGCCCATTGAAAGGTGTGTTGAGAGTGTGTTGAAAAGTGTGAAATGTTTTGAAATGTTGTTTTGAAGTTGCCCAAGAATGTTACAGTAAATATTTTGAAGTCTGTGAAAGATTGATGTGTCTATCATTAGTAGCGATTTGTATAGTATCTATGCCTATGCATGGGCTATGAATAGCTGTCGAACTGAAGTATCTGTCGACTTGAAGTTCAAAATGAACATGATGTTCGACTTAAAGATTAGTTGAACATCTTGAAGTTTCAATTTCAATTTTTGAATGTTTGAACTTTGAACGTCTCTTTGTTGAACATCTTTGGATGATGATGCCATGAACCAATGGTTGATTTGGGCCGTTCATGGCCGTTCGGTGGCTCAGTCATTGCAGATGTCATGAAGCCACCACTCAAAGCAAAAAACGACTAATCATTGCAGATGTCACTCAAAGGAAAACTCACAGTCAAAAAACTCTTGCATGCACGCACACAGCCCTCAAAACTTGCCAGCTGCACCTTGCAGAGGCGTGCTCCATCGCGGCCAGCGAGCGACCAAAGCCCTGCATCCCTGACCCTTGTAACGTCGGGCGATCACACATGAACAGCTCTACATGTCGCACCCTTGAAAAACGTCGGACGGTTTTTTCATGAAGCGTCGAAATCACACAACACTCACTGCAAAAAGAAACAAAATAGGTTCCATGAACACTAGAATGAATTTTATTCCAACCCTTCAAATCCCTGAAACAACACTCGCTGCATCCATATCAGAAGGAGCCAGATTTGAGAGTCAAAAAAAGTGAGAGTCATTTTTGATAGCCTCACTGATTATATATATATATTTTTTATATTAGACTATATATATACCTCGTAAATATATATATACACGCATAATATAGACCTCATCTATACGTGCAAGCTCTGATAGACAATTACTCTCTGCGTCGCAAAGAAATGCATGTTCGTGTCCAACGGCTTTCAAGCCTTCGCGGCTTCGCGAAGCGGTGGTTGAAAAAGCGGGTGGAACCTGCGGGAGGTCTCTACCGACCTCAGGTTAAGGAACAGCAAAAACCCTCCTGGTTCCATCGAAGATCTGCGCCTCCTGTGGTGTATTTTTTCCCAGACGACGACACACGGGAGTGGCATCTTGACGGCGATTGACCGGGGGGGTTCATGTAGGTCAAGGAGGCCAGTCTCACGACGCGCGGCACGTCTCGCTTGAATATATAGTACCAGTCGTGCCCAGCAAACGACGGACGCGGTGGATGCACCTGCCATGTCACCCCACCCGCCCAGGACGCCTGAAAGACCTCGGGGGCCAGAAAGCCCAGCGTGACCTGCGCTGACCGCACGATGCTTGGGTTGGGTGCATCTCAGTCAGTCAACAACTTCCCATATTACATACACTCGATTGCAATCTACGAATAAAGCAAATGGAGCATTGGAAATGAATGTTTTTGGAGCTCATGTCATGCCCCCTGGTTAATTGCTGGGCTGTAGCAAACCTAATCCTGACTTTAGGGTGAATGCTACCGAACGTTCGCTAGTCATCTGCCAACTCAATGGTTTGATCAACCTTTGTTTACTGGAACCAGTACAAATTCAAGTGGAATCACAACTTGTCAGCTTTTTCTGCCAAAAACCAGCAGAAAAACAAAAACACGAGAAGGACTTCGACCCTTCGACCGAAACCGGCGGCCACCGGTCATTCTCAACCGGTCACCAGAAAAGCCGATGAAACTTCCGCAACCAGCCGACCTCCGAGGCGAAGCCCGGGAGCAAGCAGCTTCCCGCGAAGACCTGGAGTGGAAAAATGCGAAGACCGAAGACGTGAGTGCCAAGCAGGCCGGAGACTTGAGCGTTGTTTTTGCGTCCTCGGTTTGGCGCAAAGAAGTGGGTTTGGCGAAGATGGTTTTATTACGGACAAACGTAACTGTGGGGCCGCAAAATTTCGAGGCCGTCGTTTCTTCAGTGTTCGCCCCCATTCGAGGCAACTCAGCTAGTGACTGATATAATTTCATTTATTTAATTTCAGTCAAACCCCTTACTTCGACTTCTTCTTCTACTTATTCTTCTTCTTCGTCTTCTTCTTCTTCTACTTCTTCTTCTTCTTCGTCTTCTTCTTCTACTTCTTCGTGCCTTTCATGTTTTCAGAGATCGCATACTCCTTCAGTCACATGGGAGTGGCTTAGGCTTTGGTCCTGCGACCGGTGTCATCTTTGGCCATGTCTGTCTCCACATCTCATCTTCTCACCTTCAGCTCGAAGGCGCACCGAGGCACCTCGGCCTCCATGGCTCGGAGCAGCGGGTCGCAGCGGGTGGTCAAGGGAACTTGGAGTGGCACCAGGGCCTCGACGCTTCGCCCGCGGAGGGACGCGGCAGCATGCGGGAGCGAGGGGTTTTGTTGGGAGGGCGGTTGGGAGGTCCCTGGGGTTGGGAGGTGGTTTTTTCTTTCGTGGTTTAACCGTAAAAGAAGAAGGAAAGTGGATCTTCTTGGGCGGAGTCACTGCTTACACTATCTTACACTTATTGTTGCACTGAACTGTTGCTGATTGCTGACCCATGGACACTATAATCCATTATAATCCTACTATGCTGCTACAGGAGAGACAGAAGCAGTGCATAATGGTTCCCATAAAGAAAACTGGACATTCCAAACAAAACATGTTGACAATTCAGCAACTTTGTTTGGCACACACACACAAACCACATGGACTTGCAGCTAGGGCTTTCAGCAATCAGAGTTTTCCACTGCTTCTAAATCAAAGGAGACAGCCCAGATCCACTATTGGGAGCCACTGGCAGTCTGACCTAAGTACCTGGTTGAGTACTCCAGCTCCTGGCATCCTCAATTGGATCTTGATGCACCACAGTCGCAGTCTTGCAAGACATGCAAACGCGTGCGAAACAAGGATCAGGACTAATTATGGGTCTTGGCAGCGAAACTGCAAACCGAATGAGTTCGGCTGGGGGAGCTCTCAGTAACCATCGGCAATTCCCCGCCAAATCTGCATGCAGTGTTGGCTGCCTTGTAGACAATCACACATCTGCGCTGCCCCGCCCTGTGCGACCCACGCCTTTTGAACAGCTTGGCCAAAGCTTTTCCACTCCTTAGACTGAGCCGCGCGCTTGAGGGAGCTCCAAAAGCTTTTCGGATGTTCGACCTCCCATAGCCAGTGCAAAATGGCGGCCTTGGCTGGGGCGTGCTTACCCTTCATCAGCTTCTTGCGGTAACCATGTTGACCACGATCTGAAGCGATCCACTTCTGCATGGACCTGAGGTCTTCGCGCGAAACGCTGTGCTTATCCTCCTTGAAAGCCTCATCTTCACCTTCATCTTCATCATTATCATCATCATAATCACCACCATCATCGCCATCCAGTTCACAATTGGCACTTTGAAGAACCAAGTGCACATGATGCCGGCTTTTGTCGAAGGCAAAAATCTCTGGAAGGGCCATGACTTTCGCCTTGGTGAGGCGATCCGGATTGCCCAGCTCCGATCTAAATTGGTTCCATTTCAATGGTCCATTGCTCTTCAAGGCGATGATGCCGCGCTGGATTTGGGCTGGATTCATTATCGCTGACACCAGGATGGAAGCCAAACGCTCTGGAGAAGAGTCAGAGCATGGCATCTGGAGAACATGGCAACTTAGCCTAGAAAGGAAAGTGAGGCTCACCTAGATTTGTTGGTGTAATCACAATTGATATACTTGAGCACCAAGATTAGGCTAGAGAGGCCTCTATGGCGGTCTAATCTTGAAGCCATGGCGGTCTGTACTGCCACGGGCGAGGTCGAAATCTGTACCATCACGTCATGCAGTTGTCGTTTTTCCCATGTCAGTGATGGAACAGGCCATGCTGAGGAATGGGTTGGACAGAACGAACTTTTTCAGCGGCCTCAACCACCCAGTTCCGGGACTATGTGCAACACCTGCTCCTGCACTCATTCTTCGTGGTGCACTCGGATCTTCGATCGAGCACTCTTCTCAAGATGGTGCCAGGAACCTGTCTACGGCCCATGCACCAACCTGCCTCGGGAGCTTAAAAATTGTTCTCTTTTGATGGCAATGACCTTTGACAAACAATGAGCGAAACATGTCAACATGTAAAGCATTCATTCATATTCATCCTATCATGTTCTAACTGAGACCCTACATGGTGCTACAGGATAGGGAAGAAATACAAAAATGCATCATTGTGTCTATGAAAAATGGTTCAATATGGTTTAATCATGTTTAATCAAACCAGAGCATTTGACCCTTGAGCCAACCTTGCTTTCCACAGCACAGACCACATGGACTGGCAGGAAGGCTCTTTCGGCCATCAAAGTTGTTCAATACCGTTTGCTGGAGCATTTCAACATCGTCAATCAGATTTGCACAGGGTTGTTTACTGACAAATGCCGAAACAAACAGGACCGTGTGGAAACATGCAAAACAAGTATCAACTGCTATAAGTTTCTTGGCAGCTCAATCTCAGACTAGCATCATAGATGTCTCAAATCATCAGCAAACGTAATGAAAGGCGTTCCTGGCTCTCAGAATCTCTCGGCCAATTCGCTGACTTGGTGCCAAACATGCAGGCTGTGTTGGCTGTTTTGTAGAAAATTACAGACGTCCGCCATCCTGCCCTGGCCAACCCATTCCTTTCGAATAACATTGGAAAAGCCTTTCCAATTCCTAGACTGAGCCGCACCCTTGAGGGACTTCCAAAAGCTGCTCGAATGTTCGACCTCCAATAACCACTGCAAAATCTGGGCCTTGGCCGGGCCATGCTTCTTCTTACGCCATGGGTCCAGAGGAGCGTCGTCTTCACTGGCACCTCGAACACTTCGGGGCTGCTTTCTCAAACTGCTCCGACGTGCCACAACAAGGAGATTCACATACATTGCAACCAGGCGCTTGTTGTCGAAGCCGAACATCTCTGGAAGGGTGATGACTTTCTCCTTGGTGAGGCGATCCGGATTGCCCAGCTCCGATCTAAATCGGTTCCATTTCAATGGTCCATTGCTCTTCAAGGCGATGATGCCGCGCTGGATTTGGGCTGGATTCATTATCGCTGACACCAGGATGGAAGCCAAACGCTCTGGAGAAGAGTCAGAGCATTATGGCATCTGGAGAACATGGCAACTTAGCCTAGAAAGGAAAGTGAGGCTCACCTAGATTTGTTGGTGTAGTCACAATTGATACACATCAGCACCAAGATTAGGCTAGAGAGGCCTCGCCGTGGCGGTCTTATCTTGCAGTCGTGGCGGTCTCCGGGCGGCCCGGACCCGGGTGGACTCCGCCAATGACAAGGGCACGGGCACCAGACCTTGGAATGGCTTGAAGCGGGAAAAAGGCAAGGTCCCTAAGCTCTCTCAAAGCCATGCCAAACAGACCTGCCGTGGAAGTTTTTCAGGGTGGGAAGCAGGTGTTTGGGACTCTAGACCTGCCCCCCCGTCCCACCTCGGCTGCAGAGGCTCTGCACTGAAAAATCAATTCATCGTTCAGTGATTTCCACAAGTCTTGCGGGATGAAATCAAACATTGTGGGGGTAGAGGACGCTACTAGGAGCAAAGGGCATCGCTACTAGGAGCAAGGACGCTACTAGGGGCTCCTGGCCTTACTACTAGGAGCAAGAACGCTACTAGGAGCAAAGGGCTTCGCTACTACAGTAGGAGCTTTTTCACTTCCCCCCACCTGAGCGCTGGACGAAAGGGTCTTCGGTCCGTGCGATAGGCCACCAGCGTGATGTTGGGAGCAGACCCCGTCCTGCACCGACACATTGATGTTCAAACCGGAGGAATGTGAGCCCGTTAGAGAAAACCGGTGTCATTCAAGATATTCAAGGAGCTAGCAGCAAGATATTTTTTGGCGTTGAATTCTTAAAACTTTGAAAGGAAACACCAGTGACATCGCTAGGAATAAGTGGATCGCTCAAAAAACAACAAACCTCGCCCTGCGTTGGGAGTTCAGTCGAGTCTGTGTCCAGTCAGAAAAGCCATGAAACAGCAAGGTGACTGCAGAGGTTGGGCCTGATCCTTACGTACAAAGTCATGACTATAAGGCCATTATGATCTAGACCACCGTCGTTCACCTCGCTCGTCCGGAATCCCGCGAAGCGGCTCCAGGGTGGGTTGCGGACACGGAGGAGCACCTGCGCGGAACTCTCGGAGAACACGAGGACCGTGTCACACAAGGTCTTCCTGGGTGGGGTCAGGCTTTCTGAAATTTGACCGATCGTTGGCATGGAAATGATGAATATATAGCAAATGTAGCAGTAGCATCCGGTTTACAGACAAAACTCCTCAGAGGCTGCAATGAAGATCATGGATGCTGGATGATGTTGGCATTTATGCTGGCAGGGTCGCTTTCAGCAGGCGGTTGAAAGTTGGCTCAAAGCCATTAAAGCCATCGCTTTGAAGACTGGAAAGCCGTTTCTCGGTGAACTTCCACGCGTGACAAAGCAGTTACAAACATCCAAAACGCAGTGCGTGCGTGAACTGGAGCCACCCAATGAGAACTGCTTGGAAAACGAGCACGACCGATCACCTGCCGCGACCGATCCTTGCAATGATCAGAACCCGGTGAAAGAACCTTCTACTCAGACTCAGACTCTATGAATCGACTCGAAAGCGTCGAAAGAACCCAGTTTGACCATGAGCACATGATTCACTTGGGTGTGTGTGAACAGTCTTGGGAGACCTCCCAGGCGACGACTCCCTGGAAGAAAGCAAATGTTTCATGAAACAAACCAAAACCATCAAAAATTATCCGAAACCAGGGGGTCCCCTATTAAAACACACACCCACATTATTCGTTCAAGCTTGGATCATCTGTTAGCCGAGACGAGCTTGGGACTCGAGCGAGCGAGCAACAACAACTTGACGACAACAACAACAACAACAACAGCTTGACGACGACGACGACGACGACAACAACAACAACGCGATGGTCAGGCCCAGCCTCGTTGGAGGTGTCTGGCACAACTCCAGATGCATTGAAGAAGACTTCCGTGATGCTCTGGCAGGACTCCAGTGATGCTCGGGTCGTGCGATGTGCACGGGGGGTGGGAAGGCAAGACCATGGACGGAGTTGCTTCTTTTCCAGAATTGACTGAAACGACCACCACTTCTGCTTGGATCTGCCATTTTCTTCTGCTTTGGATCGGCCTGGAAGTCATTGAAGAAGACCACACACCCCGGCAGCTCCTGGAAAGGAAGTCTGGTTCCCGTGGAACTGTGGAAGTCATGTTTTCGACCGCGTTGGCCACCTTCAACAACACGGGCGCCAGCCAGTTTAAAATTAAACCAATGTCTTTCTCAGATCTTGTTATAGACTAAATACAAATATACATATATCACAATATATAAATATATGTTTATATAAATATTATATGCATCTAATTGCATCTATATCAATAGACGTCTTTAAAATTCCATTATGCATATTAATATTATGCAGCTAATTGCATCTATATCATCAATAGACGTCTTTAAAATTCCATAAATATCGATCATCGGTGCGTCACACCATGCACCCACCATGCATCATAAGTACGTATCCGACATCCGACCTCATGGCATACCAGGGATACAGTACGTACATCCATTCCTTGACCTACCACTAGGAACAAGAAGCTACGAACGGAGCCAAGGGCATCGCTCCGAACCCGAACGGAGCAGTACGTCCCCACCCCCGGTGACTGCCCACGTCGGATCCTGACGGAGCCGGCGGCCCAAGGAGTAGAGCGCCAAGGAGCTCGGACAGCCCAACTTCCGGAAGGTCCGGCCCTCCTGGAAGGTCCGGTCGGTTCGAACTCGTGATGCTTCACGCGACATGGGGAGGAAAGAGGATCACTCATTCTGGATCACCGGAAAGACAAATCCCGGCGATCCATGGCTTCATCATGGAAATGTTCCAAATCTGTTCTTCATGGATTTTGTTTCTGGATTGGGATCAAATGGCGTTTGTTCTGGAGAAACGAAAGGAGAAGACTGATGTGTTTCTTCTGCTCATGCCCTTTGTATTAGTATCCCTCTATGCTGCTCCTATAGTGTGGGCATTTGGGCAGGAACTCTTCAAGTTCTCACTGAATGTTGGGAGTGTCCTATCTAAAGCTCCCATGTCTGCTTTCAGTCTTAGGATGCATCTCTTCGCCGCACGTTTGACGAAAAAAACAAGAAATTGAGCCAGAAGATCGATCCACTTTTCATGCCCCTTCATGCTTTGCAGCTGAGGAAAGAAAACACATCTCCCTTAGCCGCTCCAGCTCCACGCCCGTCTCGGTAGAGCCTCAGTTCTCTGCACATTCAGTCATCCGAATTCAATATCATGCCTTTCGGATGCCGTGAGAACCCTCGATTTCGGGGGTCGGATGAGACGAATTGGCTAAAGCTTTGTCTTCTACGGTCGGTTCCTTCCATTCGCACAGCGCACTTGCAGCACCTGCACGTGCTCGATCATGTTCGAAGACATGTCATTGCAGCACGTTGCAGCACTGCTCCATTCCTGACGTTCTTGTTGCTACTCAGCCACTGAGCCAAGGGGCGCATGTCAGGCGCTGCGTACTCAGCCACGGGGCTGGGCTCTGTCATCTCAAAGTCTTGAGAAAAGCGAAGCCTCGGGCTGAGCGCAAGGGGAGGATCGAAGGACACCACAGATACTTCAGATACTTCAAATACTTCAGCCAATAAAAACATTGTCATACAAAATATATAGATCATTATGCCAAGTTGATCTCCACTCCAACCCAAATGCCAAGGCATGTTGAGTGGCTTCCGATCCACCGAACAACGGGTAGTCCGTGTCTCTCACCAAGGGGCGCAATTACCAAAGACTCACCGGCTGGTAGAGATAGGACCTCAATAGCTTGGCATGTGACGCAGCTTGGCGCAGCATGACAGCACGGCTTGGCGCACGACAACACGAGAAGTGGATCAATTTACATGGTTGGAAACTTGGTTGGAATGAAATGGAATGAATCAGTTGGAGGAATGATGCATTAATATTTATTCAGGAAGTGGATTGATCTATGGCATCTATGGCCAATATGCTGAATACTGTTCTTATAGGAAGAATCAGCTGGAGGCCATGAGTACTCAAGGCCGCCAGTCCTGAAGGGATCGTGACAGTTGGCGTGCGCTTAGACAAAGGATGACAAAGGCCATGGCCTGATTCTCAGGGTAGTGATACTTGTCTTAAGCCATCGATACCACTTGTTGGCCATTGTTGGCCTATGTCCACCCACAAAATGTTCATGGTCCATAGTGTCTCTCCACATTCTCCACCTGATCTACCTACCAAAGCATAGTGATTTTGATGCCCATCCAATGTAGACTGTTGATGAATAAAACATGTTCCTACCAGAATGGAGGCTTTTATTCATCAACAGTCCATGGTTTCTCCACCTGATCCACCCCTACCCATGGCCTCCTCTCGCCACGCCTCTCCGGCGCGAAAGCACCTCACCTCGCCACCTCGCCTCCTCTCGCTGGGGACTCTGCACGGCCAGTGGCCCGAAAGCGAATGGACCTCAGGCAGCAGCAGATCCGAAAGGAAGACGCCAGCACCCGAGAAACGCCCCATGTGCACCAGCTGTCCCATGAGTTTTTCAAGAGGCCTCTATGAGGACTCTTGCAATGTTCACATGGTACATGTTACAATAATTGCCATGTCCATCTTCAGGCCTCAGATCTCAACATGATCGTAATCATCGAAACATTCCTTCTCCGTTTCAGTTCTGCTGAAGGGATGAAGGAGGTGATCAACCAGACCAGGCATCTGAGCAGGTGACCTATCAACAAGCCATGGCCCTCCAACCAAAGGGCCTTTTGAAGGAACCAGTCGGCTTGTCCCAAGGATGGAACCACTCGGGATGATATTTCAACCCCCCCAAGCCTGAACAGGTGCTACAATCCATGTCTAGGGGGTTCATGAATCAAGATTCTACATCAGATGGAGCCAGCTGTCACTCCAAGCTTCAGGAGGGACAGCTCAAACCGGCTCTGGTTTTCACCAGCCAGTGCGACCCTCATGGTCGGGTGAGGCCCCCCGGGGGATTTTGGGGGGATGCCCTGGTCATCCACGATGCGAAGACTCGGGTTTTGCGTGAAGACTCGGGTTTTTGAAGGGCAGGAAGCCCCAGAAAGCCCCAAAGTTGAAGAGTTGGCTTCGGGTCTTGGAGTTCATTCCGAAGCTGTTTCTGATGAAATGTCACGAACATGAATTCTGCTTGGGCCATGCTGTGTCAATGGAATCACGCCAAAACAACAGTCCTGCGCGAGAGACCAAAGAAAGTTTTGTCGTCGACTCTCTGGGTAATCATATATTAGCTTATCTCTGATATCATCTGTCAGAGTTTGCTTCGCTGTGGGCTCTCTCTGTCAGAGTGTACCTCTGATGAAACTTACGAGAAAATTGATTTTGGTCCCGCGCAAGAACCGAAGAATATCATGTGCCAAAGATCTTCCGAGGTTTCAGGTCTTTCCCAAGGACGTCAAATGCCGTGCTACGCACAAGACCCACTGACGGCGGTTCTGCTCATCTGAGCTCTGCACAAGGCATTGCTGGCATCCACAGCTCTAGTGTTGCACTCCACCACTAACCTTGGATCATAACCAGAATGAAACCACCACAATTCCCCACATGCAGATACCCACAGGGGAAACCCACAGGGACACAGGGAACCCACGCAGTGTCACGAGATCAACGTCTCGGAGGTGTCCTCTTTTTGCACCTCACCGTGCTTTTCAGGAAATGGTGGAAATGGTGATCTGGAAGTAATGTAGACTCTTGATGAATAACCCCCGCCGACTTGAAGTGAAAAACCTCATGTGGAGGTCTTATTAATCAAGAGTCTACATTATGGTCTATGAGTCTATGGTCTACCTATAGAAGTTGGCAAAAACATGTAGGACACCGACAAATCGAAGAACGTCCAACAAGTTGCCACCGCGGTAAAGGCCAGTGAAGCGTTCGTTCATTTTGTCTCGTTCTTCTTAACTCAGCATCCCCAGATTCGAAAGTGCACACAGCATCACACGAATCCGGGCTTCAGCTTGCGCTTCAGCCTGCGCATTCCCAAGACGCCACAGATTCTGCTTGGCGCCAAGTCGCTGCTCTAGAGCTGCCAGAATCTCCCCTTGAGCAAAGCCAGAGACCAGCGCTTGGTCTTCAGCCTAGCAAGGTCTTCCCATGTCCAAAGAGGCAACACTCCCATCAAGAAATTCTGTAACTCTGCGGCATCACAAAAAGACCCCAAACTCCAAGAGGACCCAAGATGGCGGCAACACGTAACACCCACCATCCTCTTGGCTCGCGCTGATCAAAGGAATACTGAGGAGCCTCGAAACCCAGGCCCCAGACGTTGGCGCCTCAACCACTTCACAGTGGGAGGGCACCCGGCACAAATGAAGAAAAAGGGGTTTTGTTTCGGCACAACTCGGTGTCAAAGAAGACGAATTCAGTTGTTATACAATTCAGTTGAAACTTGAAACATAAATATGTCAGTCAAAAAGCCACATGGGGGTGTATTCCCATTCAAGACCTCTGGGACAAATCAACAACAGACCAAAAAATGATCCGTTGGTTTGTAGATCCCCCCCAACAAAAATACATCCCCACATGAAGTCACTGGAATGTTTCTACCTCTGTATCTTCTGTTTTGCGTCGTGGCCAACTCAGCACCTGGCAAGCACTACGGTTGGGCTCTCTCGAAAGCACATCCACCAAAGATGGCTCAACCTGGGCTGTCGATCTCTTGTTGATCTGATGTGTTTTTCTGGCACATCAAGCCATGGACCCTGAAAACCACTGTAAAACCCCACGCCCGGTTGGTACACGGTCCAAGGGCTGGTTCGATACTCGGGCGCCACGTCGAGACCGTGCATGGAGGGTGGGACGGGTGAGGTCGTGACACGTCGTTGGAAACGGTGAGGTGAGAAGGGTAGCGTTTCGAACGCTCCTTGGACCATTCCAACAAATGGCCCCCTTGGACCATCCCAGACCCTCACCGGTCAAAAGACCTCAAGACCTCCAGAGAGTCGCGTTGTCGAAACAACCACGCCCCCCTCGGGGCCGTTCTCAGGTTCAATGCGCCATCGCTCCCCATGGCCGTCTGAGGCCTTGGCCCCGCTCTCTGGGAAGGACACCGACCTCAGCAACTGCTTCGGCCCTTCGGCCCTTCGGCGCGAACCGCGGCTCGAACGCTCGGTGGATGTGGCCACCGACGGTGGTTGGCCGAACCTTCGAGTGAACCGATCTGACATGGCAGGAACCGTCAATGGAACACGAAGAGGAACCTAAGGCATAAATGTTGGGATGTTGAATGAAAGCCTGGTTTGAGATGCTAAACATCTGCAAATCAAAGTACAGTAATTCTGGAGCCACGATGGGGGAGACCACACTTGCCAGTCAGCTGCTAGGACTGCGGCAGATTCACAAAGTGCTGCTGCTGTGCTTGCACAACACCGTACCTGCTGCTGTGCTGCGAATGTGCAGGAACCTGTTGCAATCCTTCTGAGCGAAGATGCTGCATTCCAGCATGACCCCTTTGATCTATTCCCATCAATTTCCCTCTCTAAGGCCAAGACTACCAGACCATGGAGAAAAGAGTGCAGCTTCCACCCACCCTATCTCCACCTTCAAAGCTTGTCCCAAGCCTGTCACCACTGCACCAGTCAGCCGTTTCCCACCCCCAGCATCCTCCAGCTGCCCGAGGCAATCAAGCCCGGGCACAAGTTGCTCACGCGCAAGCCCTGCAAGTTGGACCTTGGATCTCCGCAGCGCCCTGCAAGTTGGAGCTGAAACATGCTGAAACCATCTCCAGGCGCGTCCGCTTCTTCCGGAGAAAATGAGGGGGTGTGTCTTTGAATCGGATTTCACACCCGAGCTCTCGCCCTGGTCGACTGGGGTAGATGGCAGACTGGTCGATGCTCCGAACCTTCCGAACCGGGGTCGTTGGTCTCCCTTTTGAAATACACGCCCACATGGTCGGCCGAAAGAGGTTCGGCTCGCCCCTTCTTTTCGCCCCAAAGGAGCCCCGGACCTTCAGCAGCCGAACAGCCCTGGAACAGTCAACCAGCAGTCCGAACGGAATGCGTTCGCTTGGACTAGAGGGGCCCCTTCTGTCCTCTTCTGTCGGATCATAGACTGCCAGGCCCCCTCGCCGCGAGTCCAGCTTCAGGAGAAAAGTCCTGAAGCTTAAGGTGAGACGTCTCACCGTGCCCCGTGCCCCCCCCGTCAGAGTTGGACATTCTTGCGAGAGGAGTACCGTGGAGTACCTATTCTTCTTCTGCCTTTTTGCTAGCCAAGACGACATAGCGCTCTGCGTAAAAGCCATGCACTGAATTATGAATTGGGAAGGTTCTGACCAAGGTAGAGAGGAGTACCAAAAATACACTCTGGGAGGCTTCAGGTGCTTTGTTGGTGCTTTGTTTGTGCTTTGTCATGTTGCCAGTTGATCTTTGGATGTCGTGCTGTGTGCACACAAAGCATTAGTCCCTCCGTGGTTCCATTTTGAATGACCCATTCATGTTTACTCGTGCAGCTTCATGGTGAAAGGAACCACCGAACAAGACAGGCGTTGCGTGTGGGAGGTCCATTGGTTCACCTGCTGTTCCACCGCCCAACTCGGTCCCTTTGGACGTCTCAATGGCCGTCGGGAGGTCCACGACCTCACACAGTGGGCGCTGAAGCGGGCGCACGCGTGGTGCGGATCGGCGGAAAGCTTGGTCTAAATGGCCAGCAACGAGCAACTCTGAGATATAAGATTATATACCTGGAACCCATTTGACCTCTGTTTTGATAGGAAAAGGCCATATTTTGGGTGGTTGGTGGTCCAAAATAGAGATCATTCAGGTTCCAGCTATATATATGCTATATATATAACATCAAACAAGGCTGTTTGGGACTTTTCACTTCCAAAAGAAAAGGTGGCAGGTTCTTGGGCCGCACTGCAGTTTTTTCACCATTCTACCACTCAACCGTTGTTCATGGTTCTTCACCAGGCTCTGATTGTTCTGGAACTTGAAGACCATATTGGAGGCCTTCTAGGGACAATCCAAAGGTGATTTTCAAGATGTAGTATAAACACGTGGGCCTATGTGGGCTTGAATACTGTCACTTACTGAAGCCCAGTATGAACCCGACCAAGGGGATCAAACAACTTCAGGCAATCCTTGTCATCCAGCCTCTGGTAGATTCAATTGGCCGCTCTGCTCCCTTCTTCGCAGTGCCTGTTGGCCGCATGGGAGGCCGACAAGGTAGCGTTCATCTGGATTAAATGAGGAGTACGCACCTCCGTCAAGCATACCAAACCAATAGAAAGACCACATCTGTTGCACCATCCAATCACAAACCCTCCAAAACCCAATGGTTTAGGGCGAGGTCGCCCTAAACCTCCGTGCCCGCCCCTTTCAGTGAGGGCCTGCAGCGAGGACGAATGAACATCCAGGATCGAGAAACCATAGGGTGGGCCTGGGTGGCGTTGCAAACTGCTGCAGTTGGTGCAGAGACCAACGAGGCAAACAGTCCAACGAAGATCTGCAAGTTCACTAAGCGATAGTACGAAGAGCTGGAGGCTTGAAATGAACTTGTGCTTTTAGGACTCAATAAAGGCATGGAATGGGAATGCAAACAAGCCATCGATCATGGTGAATAGAGTGGACATGCAGTTAAACGGAGCTCACCACTATCCTCATTTGCAGAATTATAGATGACAACTTCCTGTGTGAGTATGTCGTCCAGCACCGTGCTCCCGGCTGATTTTCAGGATATCCTGGAGCGCACGCGCAACGGTCTTGATTATAGAGTTTGTATTCCGCAGACATGTACACGTAACCCAAGAACTAACACAGAGGTCTGACATGGTCTGACTCTGCTTTGTCAACAACCAACAGCGCTACGAGTACCGTACCCCTCTGAAAGGGTTATATTATATAGAGCCGGCTTTGCCTGTGGCACACTGGCATCCACTCCAATGAAAACTGGCACTTCCACAAGGCTGCTTTCCCAAGCTCACAGGGATCCACCAGAAAAACATGCCATACAGCATACAGCACACATCGAGTTCCATATCAAGTGCAGCCCCTTCGTTCGCGTGAGGCCCCTCCATCGCAGCTTTGGTTCGCCCAAATCGTTCGCGTGAGACGGAGCCTTCCTGGCACCTCCCCGTCGACCCCTGTCCTCGGGGTTTCCTTGAAATGCCAAGGTCGTATTCACCTCAGTTTGTCGTGATGCTTTTTCCCGTGCCTGTCGGCTTCGCTCGAGATGAGGGGCCATTCTAAGGGAAACCAGAAACCCAGGGACATCCGCTGTTGGGAGGGCTCCAGGTACATGACAAAGTTCAAATCTGGACATTCCCATGAAACTGGAAACTGGAACCCAGCTCAAACTGAACACTGTTTTCCCATTCCCATGAAAGATGATGTGTTTTGATTTCCGATGTCTAGTTTAGATAGAGTGGGAATTAGACCTGGACCTTCCTGTTGACTCCGAGCTGGGTCAAGGGATGTTGTTTCTAATAGTAAAATGAAGGGTGCCACAGGTGCCAACCACCTCTCTCTAATTTGCATTCAGCACTACAATGACACAAGAAAACAATTCACATGGCGCCGAGTGAACCACATCCACCGACATAAACATGGCCACCCTCCGTTCTCCTCGCCACTCCCTTCGAACCAACTCCCATCCGGTCAGGAGGTCGAACGTGGCATCGACCGGACTTGGTGGAGAAACGACCCCAGGACCAAGGCTGGTGGTCTCCTCTCGAATCAACCAACCAAGGCTATCTAGGTGAGGCCATCTAGAATATTAGGACGCTATTAGGTGGAGGTCATCGCAAGTATTGTTTCCCATTGCCAGGAACTCGGTCATCCCAGATGCTGCGAAGCGCAGGTGCACCCACGTGCTGCGCCGCCGCTCCAAGTTCGACAGCCGCGCCTCGGCAGAGACGATGAGAGCACGTCTCTGTGGCGAGACGTGCAGCCCCATAGTAGTAAGAAGAAGCTACTAGGAACAAGTGCATCGCTTCTAGTAACAAGTGCCTTACTAGTAGTAACAAGAAGCTACTAGGAACAAGTGCATCGCTTCTAGTAACAAGTGCCTTACTAGTAGTAACAAGAAGCTACTAGGAACAAGTGCATCGCTACTAGTAACAAGTGCCTTACTAGCAGTAACAAGGTTCGCTACTAGGAACAAGTGCATCGCTTCTAGTAACAAGTGCCTTACTAGTAGTAACACCCCGGCACCTCAAAGAAGTCCAGCCGATACAGCGAGGGCCGCCACACCAGCTCAGCGGCCCAGACCCTCGGTCGGTCGCGCCGGTCCGGATCGATCGGAGACGCTCGGTCCGTGCTTGGCCGTGCTTGGCCGTGCTTAGAGGCCATATAGATGTCCCGTGGGACTCTTGGATGATGCTATATCAGGAGGTTCCAGAGGGGAAAAAAAAGCAATGCAGTTGTTGCCATGTTTTGCCATGCTTTGCCATGCTTCCGAGTCTGATCGAACAAGAAACGTGATTGTAACGTTAAAATCCGGGGAGCCTCCCAGAAGACGACCAAAATGGAAGAAAGCCAATAATAATGGATCTGTCTACCCATCCAGGGCCAGGGGGGCCTCCCTTTTAGAATGCACACCCACATCTCATGTTGTGCTTCGGAATGCATTCAAGAGGTGCCTCGATTCCATCTCTGTTTTAGATGACACTCTTGGCATCCATGCGGGTAGAGGCCGCAAGACCATACCTGCAGTCTTTCAGGCTTTCCCAGGACAACTGTTCCAGCCACGAAGTACTCTAGAAACGGAATCTCCTTGAACTTCATTGCAACTGCGCAGTCTTGGCCACAGATTTCGTCCCCAAAATCATCAAGATCAGGACCCATCTTCCTTGCACAACTCGGGGGCCTGATTGCTTCAGCGCTTTGCGGGGGATGAAAATACGTCAAGGAAGGGATGGCCGGAAATGTGAGGTCTACACATTCCTAGTCTGTTGAAACGAGAAACTTGGATATGTACTGTATTAAAATAGGGGGACCTATAGAAATCCACACCCACTTAGTTATCTTAGTTGTTTCCTGATGTTTTATCGTTATCTTTGGCCTTCGGGTGGCAGGCATCGCGGGCATCCAACAAGGCGCCGCCAAACTGCTGCTGGACCTCAAAGTCAAATGACCGGGCGCGGACCTGGATTTCTGTAGGCAGGTCCAGGTGACCTGGATATGTTTGGATAGACACAAAAAAACATGGTCTACCTTTGGAACACGACTACAGTATATAAAGAAGGCACCACTCCAGCAGATTTGGAAAGATAACTCCCACGACGAACTGATCAAACTGGGTGATTTAAGGACGTGGTCTGACAAACTGATATCATTGCCTCGGCACCTCCTACTTTTTTGTGGGACCGCATGGACAAACCAAAACCATCCAAAATCACACAGGGACCACACATCTGTGAAGCTCTAACATCGTCTAAAGGTCTGCCAATTCTGCTATGTCCCAACGAGAGAAGCCCGTCTTTCGGAAGCCAAACGGGTGGACCGGCCGCACCCTGCACCGCACCCCGGTCACCCCCGGTCACGACCCCGCGGGTGGCACGACGGTCGCGGTCGGGCCAAGACGCCGCGACGGGGCGTGATTCCAAGCGGAGGTTGAGGGACTCCTTTGGCCTCGAGCTCGATGGCTTTTGGGGGCATTTCCCCAGGAACCACTGGAGTCAGAATCGGCTCATCGCGAAGACAAAAGAAGCCACGATGTCGAGACATGATAGACATGGGTGTAGAAAACAGCACTGACTGATCATCTGCACACTCGAGTTTGTTCAGCGTAACGAAATGAACATCCTTGTTCAAACGGCAGGAAAACAACGTAATTCGAACGGCTGGCACAAGTGGAAGGTATTCAGCTGAGTTCATTTATTGTTGTTGCATGTTGTTTCAAAGTCTCAGACATTCGTCTGGGTGGAGCTAGCAGGGAAACACCTGTGCAGTGCGCAGGCGCAGTCGAGTCTACGCTTGTGCAGTGCACACTGCAACCGAACCAAGGAAACTCTGGATTTCCCTCCGATTTGCTGAGAAACCCCGCGCGAAATCCGTGAGGAAAAGCCTGAGTTTGGTCGCCGCCACACATGGATTCTTTAGTCGCTGTATCTTCGGTCGCGGCGAAGAGAAGCAGCTTCTAAGAGACAAACTCGTTTGGGAAATCAGAAACTTACTTCAGCCTGGCCTCGGCCTAGCCCATCCATCGGCTTTCGTAAAAGTCGTTTTGGGCAATCGCGTTGCGCTCGCAGTATCCGTATGAAATCGAGCTCCCAGTATCTGAGAAGGAAAGCCAGTGCATCAACTTCTTTGCCAACCTGCCTTGGCTTTGACAACTCCGCCTTACTGTTCTTCCGCCCTAGCCCCAAAAGAGGCCCTATAAAATCCTTGACCTGGACGAAGAACTCTCACTTCTCCTCTTTTGGGGGAGCACCCCTTTCCTCTTTGCTAGCTCCACTTCCACCGCCAGCGCCCCGACGGAGCGATCCGCAGCGCCAGCGCCGCGCCCGACGGCAGGGGCGCGGTGAAGTTCACGGCCTTGGTGCGGTGACACATCTGGCATCTCTCGAAAATGGTGGGTGTGTAACCTTGTAGAATAAAAGAAGAGATTGGTGCTTAATGGATGTTGACGACATACATATGTATAATATGTCTAATCTATCACTGTTTAATAACTGTTTTTGTTTATAGAGAGAGAGAGAGAATGACTGGAATGACTTGTTGGTTCATTTGTATTCATTTGTACTTTTGGTGAGATCTGTAGATCTGAAGTTGGCTCGGCTCGAGCTCCGCACCAGACTGGCATTGCTGGAAGTACAAGCCACCTCGAGAGAGCGTCGTTGGCTCCCAAGCTCCGGAGCGTGGGGGGTTTCCCATGGACTTATACTGCGATGTTCCAGGTGGTTCTTTTACCAATGCCCTATCATGGTATATCATGGGTATATCTCATTACCAGGGCCCAATGTCTGACTATCATGGTATATCATGGGTATATTGCTAGGGCCCAGTGGATGATGGTGGACGTCACAGGCCAGTGCCCCAAGCCCAGTGCCACGAAGTGGCGCTCAATTTGTTCAAAGAAATCTTGGAAAGAAGGGAGATCATCTGGGAGAAGTCGGTTCCTACCATTGGACTCCAAGTGGTGCAACGACTCAGAAGTACCCGAAGAATTTAATAACAACATCATACAACATCTCAAAACTACAATTCTCAATCTATTAGCATGAAGACTACCAGTGGGGCCCAGTGGTGAGATCATGAGATGACTCGAGATGACTCGGGCTGACTCCAAATGTTTGCACTTCTTGCCCCAATGGTGGCCAGTCACCCTACCACATCTACCACCCCCATGTCGTTGGGCCGCTGACTACTAGTCACTAATTAGTCTCCTCCCCTCATGTGCCTCGTCCCAGCGCAACCACGGCGTCAAAGGCCACACTTCACAGTCCGACGTCAAACTGAAGGCCTCCGATGCGGTGGTCGGGCCGATCTGGGCATCTGGGAGTTGGACAGTGTTGGACAGTGACCTACACACAAATCTGCGCAAAACGAACACTGCAAGTTAGGAAGAAACATCCTCATCCTCACTTCAACTTGCTTCCTCGAATTTGCTTCTCCAAGCTCTTGCCATCTCTTGCCTCCGGTAGCTGCACGACCAGCACAGCGCCAGCACTCCAGGCGTTTGCAAGGACGAAGAAGAGATCCAGGGAGGACTTGGCACGCCCGTGCAAACGCCACGACATGGCCGTGTCGACAGCTCAGTCGGGCCTCCCCTCGACAGCCACGGACGGCACGAATACGGCGCCGTCTTTTCCTCTCGCCACTGTATTGGTGGAGGATTCTTTTGATAGGATTGTGGTAGGTAAGTGCCTCAGCGTGGCAAGCCACTTTCCTGCCACTGGCCCATCCATATGGAACGGCACCAGAACGGCACTCAAGTCTCGGCCTTGGGAGAGGACGATCTCTAAAACCAGCCACTACCAAGTCTCGGCCTTTTCAACTACCAGACAAAGTAAAACTGGAGATATGGAGAAGAACTGGGTCTCCAGTGCCTCCTCTTTCTGGGGTGATTTTTGATGGGCCACCGATTCCTGATGAGAATGAGAGCCGAACTGCAAGCAAAACTCCCCTGCGGTGACCATTGGGAGTGCACACCTTCACCTCCCTAGATGTAGGTGTGGAAGCCCCAAAAAGTTGATCTTTGAAACCAGAACTCTCTATATTGCTCACCGCGGCATAGCAGCCAGCGAATTGTAGACTCATGGTGCAGCTGTCTGTGGATGTGAAGTAATTAAGCCTTCTTATTTGGGGCGGGGGTGATCAACCCCTGCGCAAAACATCTGTGACCCCAAATTCCACGAGCTCCAAACACCTGCAGCTTCAGATGTGCATCCTAGTCCCGTCGGTCGGTCTCCATGTCCCAAGGCTCATCCGAGCGCCAAAGCTATACAGGCACGCGCAGTCCCAGGCTGTTCGGCTAGGCGTCGCGCGGGCCACCGGTCCCTGAAACGGATTGGTCCAGTTCCTTTGACTCCGCGGATCAGGCGTTGCTGTTGGTGTCTATGATGATCACACATGGGTGTTCGCCATGTGGAAAGCCCCTTCTTGTCCAAATGACCAGGATGGATGTATCATTTGTCACTGTAATTATGTATATATATACCTACAGTATTTCAATCCATCGGGAAATGGACCTCTCCTTAAGCTCCACAGGTGCAGGGTGCAGGTACAGCATGTGTGCAGCAAGTATCACCTGCTGCTACCTGCACCCTTCCTTGCGTGAGCACGGCGCCTGAGGAACGCTCGGCTAGCTTCAGGCGTGCAAGGAGCCCACGCTCCAGGGAATTCCGCGAGACTCCAACACCAAAGCGGTGGCCAAAACAGAAACTCGAGTCCAGCTTGGTCAAGACATGAGACGTTTATGAAAAAAAACAAGTATATATAAATATATAGTAATAACTACCTCAGCCTCCTCCGCCGATGGGATGAAGCTCGCGACTCAAAATAGGGCAAAAGTGCAAAGTGCATCAAATTGCGTCACGACCCAACCCTCAAAAGACGACTATCTCCAGGGGCCTTTCCGGCTCCTTGAAACAGTTGGCAGACTGCGAAGATCTGGCTCAAGACCATGCTGAGAGCTATGAAGAGTACGACCAAAATCTGCCTAAAGCTGTGCTCTGCAAAGGCCTAGAGGTGCTACTTGCAAAGGTAGTCTAGACTCACCAAACACCTGCCTTCTTGGAATAATCTTGAAGGTGAGTGCAAGAAAAAAATCCTTGAACACACTCTAGACAGGACATCCTATCTCCAAACTCGGTCTTAGGCCTTGTGTGAGATCGTCTGATGACCCAAAGGCGCACCCAACCTCCTCTCCCGGGCTCCTGACTCATCACAAAAGTCGTGGTAAGGCTTCTTTCAAAGCCTGGCTCAGAAACACAAGGCCCTCATCAGCCTGATCAGATCTACACCATGGGTATCTGGTGGAAGCTGCTTGGAAGCTGTACCAGGATGGATGTCCGCACGGTCTCTTGTGTGGATGGGCAGTTTGGCCTTTGTTCCGTAAAATAGATCAAACAGCCGCAGACACTTCTCTGTGCAACTCTCCTCAAAGGAAGATGAAAGGAAGAACACCAAGCTTTTTGGGTCAAGAAGGCATCTGTCTTGGATCCTCCGCAAGGTGGGGAGGGTTGTCACAAAAAGTGAGCTCCTGCCTTGAACTCAAGGCAAGAGCACTCGAGTGGCATCCTGGCACTTTGATTCTGAGCAGTGTTGTTCTCGAAGCCACTAGATGCTTCTTGACGGGAGAATAAGTATCACGAGCTGCAAAAGCAAGCCACAATTACTCCAGGTATCTTAGAAGTCCTCATTCTACCTGGTCTTTCCACAGCACTGGGCTGTGGATTAGGCTGTGCTTCCCACCAGTGACACTCTGAGGGGACCACTTTCAGCCCAAACAAATGCACAAACAAGCGTCTAGCCCATGCAGGGGCCTCCGCCGGTACAGGACAAGGGAGTGAAGTGCAATGTGCTTCTCTTCGCAAACCACTCGATGGGCAAGTGCATGTGTTGGTGCCTTAGGATGGGGTGGGTACATGTCATTCAAATCTGCGTGGATTTAGCTGAGGAAGCCGGCAACATCTCTCAAGTTCTCCTATTATTACAATATGCCGAATGATGTTGCCGCCTAATTCTAAAAGGCCCGTATTCGCTTGAATGCCCAAAGGTCAGGCACCAAAAAGACCTGGTTTGCAGGTAACACCCACGACCCGTGTGGATCTTGAATCCAAACTCTGCGGTCGTCTCCGGTGGAGTTTGACATGTCGTCTCTCGTCGGGTTTGAAGGGTCTTCGCCGATCGACTGGCCATCCAAAGGACGCCAAACATGCCGCCTCTTCAAGGCTGAAGGCTGCGTTGGGACTTCATCACCGCATCACCAGGGTGTCGTAGACACTCTTGCATGAGCATGCTTCAAATGGGATCCAGAAAGGATCCCCTGTTAGGGACCACCAGAAAACGATGGGCGCGCGTTTGTCGCGCCACGCTTCGCTTCGCACTTCGTTCGTTCCAGTTCGCTTGGATGTTTGACGTGGATCGCTCCGAGTCCGAAGGTCCGCTTCACGGCTCCAATCCGAGCGGCCATCTCCCTTGGGGAAGGCCACAAAGGGCTGGCAGCGTTCTGGCATGGGAGGATGAACTGCTCGTTTTTTCGTTCGGCTCGTCTTGTCGAAGATGCATTCTCTCTTGACCGGTGATCTCAAATCTTTGGGGATTCCCTCCATGAACACTGGAAAGCAGCCACTGATCAAAAACATCTTCTCCGAAACATCGCGCAGGTGCTGTGCATCAGTCTTTGTCGTCTGTCCTGTCTGGGAGTTTAGGATGTAGGTAAAAGTTCTTACCGGAGGACTGATGATTTCATGCGTGGAGTCTCTTGTTTTCAAGCGACCTGGACTCCTGGCCTCTGTCTCTGCGGGCTTGTTCTGGGCAGGCCATGAGCGTGCATGCGGCTGCGTCCTGGAAGCACATAAAGCCCTTTGATATACTATGGATAGGCTGTTCGGATAAGCTGAAGCGCCTCAGCCTCTGGGCCACAACTCTGTCGTGGGCCAGAGCTCAACGTTGAGGCTTTTTGGAAGGCGAAGTCTGAAATCAGCAGACCCCTGCTTCTTGAGCCTGCCCAACTGCACCTGTTTGGTTTTTCATGCTGTTGGTGAAGAAAAAGTCATGCAACACCCAGAACGAAACTAAAAGGTGTGAGGCCCTATCGCTTCTGGGTCAGATTGCTCCGGATCTTCCCCACTCGGCAAAATCTCACTCCGGCTGAATCATGGGCTGCCAAAGTACCATGAAACTCAACCTCCTTTGCTCTTCAGGGCCACAGCCGCCAAGAACCGCAGGCTGTGATCTACGGGCTTCACCGCCAAGCCGTTCCATGGCCAAGCCGTTCCCAAACTTCCCCCCCTCGGACGCTCCGACATCTGGCCGGAGGCTGGGCATATACAGGTGTTGCAGCCATCCGCAGCTGGGAAGCTCACACCCGGACAGCATTCGCCTGCCGCAGCGGCAGTTTTTGCGCAGAACTGCACCACGGCAGCCACTTCTATATCTTCTATGGTACTGTAGCATGTGAGCAGGATTGAAAAAGGCCTTCTCTTTGTGGCTGCATCTCCTCCAATATCTTAGGGTCTGTTAGGGGTCAACTCTCTCTCTCTCTCTATCATTCTTCCACAAACAAACTGCAAAACAATGCGGCACATATCAACCATACCTGCCAAATGAAAATGTCATTACGTAAGGATTGATGATTGATCGGTTTGAACCATCTCAACTGCCTCTTAATGGTTCTTCCCAAATCTTGCAAAGTCATCAAAGTCATCCAAACTCTACTGACTCCACTGGTCAAAGTCATGCTCCACTGCCTTCTCCTGGCTCCAACGCAGGGAGCCTGGCGTACTGGCGTAGAGATGAGACCGGGGGTGAAACCAAAAGGACTCACCGCACGTATGACGTATACACGTTCTAAACTATGTGATGTTAAGCTCCTATATAAGTGAACCCATACTGGCTCGAAGGATCTCAGGCATCCAAGCCAAGAATCACCTTCTTAGTGAACACCATTGGCATTCAATCCGAAAAGCTTCTTTTGGTCCGTCTGTGAGAAAAGGTTGCTTTACGTCCCCCCCAAAAGAAAAAACAACACCGGTATACACCGGTTCTTTTTCGCCGGCCCAAACTCCGCACCGGCACCGACCAAACGCGGGACCGGGCCTGGGGCATTCCAGGTGCGTGCAATGCTTAGGGTCCTTACGGCCATCTTGAGGGCAAATGCAGGTGTTGAGACCATCACCTCAGCGAGTTCACCACGCATTCGTTTGGAGGTGGATGGGAGCGGCGAGGACGGCGTAACGCGGGCCTCACGCGATAATATCTGAGATCTCCCCGAAAGTGAGCGGGATGAAATGGCATTGGCATAACTAACTATTGTTGGCATGATGTGCAAAGACTTAGGATTCTCGTCAAGGAAAGAACTGCCAAGAAACCACAGTCACCTTTTTGGGGGGCCTCAGCTGCAAAGGCACCTGCCGGATAGGCCGTGAAGGGCGTGCAGTTTTGCGTCAAAGCCATCCATGGAGGGCACGCCATACGAGTGCAAGAGGAGGCGTTCCTCAACAAACATGGCAGCTACCAGCAGCGACCAATCTTCAAGGTCCAC